TGTCAGCAGGTTAGGAGTCCAGCTAAATTATGATCACAATTAAAACCTTTCTGATGTAATCTTTGCAAAAGCAGAGTGCTGCAGCAACGGTGTTAGCCCACAGAGATAACTCTCAGAGCGTTAGCATTTTCTTAATTGTATTATTTCCTATTTTCTACCTTCCATCTACCAACTCGTCTCCTCTTCTGTGCTCCTTCCTTCACTTCCTCCAAAATGAGATGGGGTGATGGACTTCTCCATTACATGAAGGCTATCAAGGGAGTGGCTAATGAGAACAGATAAAGCTCTATCAGCCAGCTGAACCATTATCATCCCTTATTGTGGCAAAATCTCATTTGACTGTGTTTTAATTAAACAGTGCTGGCTAAGTAAAAGGCCGCCTCGTATTCAACTTGGCTGAACCTGGGGCACCACAGCAGTATTCATTTGGCACAGGTAACTTTTAATCATTCTGCCAACGCAGCATGGGACTCAACCTCCACTGTGATATGTTATTGATATGTAGGCAGCTTATTAGAGGTCCCCTTTTTTTCTCCTGGCTGCCCTGACTTGATCTTTTCTAAAGAAAACAAGAAGAAAAGCTCATCTGTTTCAAGGTCTGCTGTATTTTTTAGCATCAAGGCAAAAGAGGAGAAAAAATGTGAGGGAAAGTGGTAAAAAGTAAGAATAAAGTTCAGTTCAGCAAAGCTTAGCAACAAAACTGGCTTGTAATCACCCCCACCTTCTGATGTACACTCACTTAAAAGTTTTTGAACAAACTCTCCCACCTCCTATGTTCTGGAAATTGTCAGGCTGCAAATAAAGTTCTGCTAAAAAAGTTTTATGATAAGARCGTTAAAAGAGACATTGGTTGTGTTCAAAATCAGAGGATGCGTCCTTCGGCCGAATTTATTGACCGCTTACATCACTGTGCCACGCCGGAGGCTGTCCAAATTCGAAGACTCCTCCGATGCGGCCGACGTGTCCTCCCTTTGCCCCGATTTGAGGGATGGGTACTGTGGCTGCCCGATCTGTCCCGGAAGCACGATCCGTACGGTCAGCTCATTTGCGCACAAGCTAAAAGAAGCACAGCTCATTTGTGCTAAATGATAGACTTATGGAATGTGCTTGATTTAAAGGCACAGTGTGTAGGATTTGTTGTTTTCAGCGACATCTAGTGGTTGAGTGGTTGAATCATCCTCCCTGGTCCTCCCCCCACCCCCACCCCCCGCTTCCAAACGCAAAGGAGTTGCTACGGTGTCTGATGATAATTCCAACCGCGATGTCTACCAGCAGCTTCAGGACTAGTGATGTTTCAAGTGGTAAGATTGAGCTTTAATAAGTAAAATTATCCCAGCTACAATGACAGACAACAAATATTACATTTATAGTATTACAACTAAAACCGTTTTTGACGCCGCCACCGYAGTTTGTCCTTCATGAGCCTTCGTAGACAAGATGKCGGTGCAAGATGGCGGCTGCCTGTAGTGGCGACCCGCGACCATGGAGATATAAACAGCTTTTTATAAAGGTAAAAATAATAAAACAAGGTCTTTGTCTGCAATGATTAGACATGTTTTTTATTATTGTCATTAGTGATTATCTCAATTTCGGCTAAAAGACTTGACAAAATCCTACACACTGTGCCTTTAAGAAAAAAATACTGAAAATAATATTTTCTATACAATAGTATTCTGGAACAGTTTTAGCATCGTGTAAATTTTGATTAAAAATATATAGATTTACAATGGGTATATATTTATTTATAACTAGAAGCACTTGGAGAGTGCAAACCTCCACCAAGACCAATTCCCCCCATCCTGTAAGAGTTAATGCTCAAAAGCAGAGAAGGAAACACATTTGCTGAACAAGTTCTGACGTAGTGAACATTTAAGCAGGCAGTATGCACGGGGTTTCTTCTCGGTGGAGCCCAATGTGAAAAAAAAAGTCAGACTCGTCACCCGACGTTATTCATCGTCAAACTGGTGTCGGATTAAGCTCCTAAGTTTTCATCAGTCACATTTCACCATGTAAAACGTCTGTTTTATCCCCTTGTATGAGTTTTTAATGGTTTGACTCTCTTTATAAAGTGCCCCCCCCCCGTCTCCAAACTTTGAGGCCCGGCAGCTCTCTTTTGTCCTTCGAAGGACCCAGCCCCTGAATTTGGACGCAGCCATAGAAACAAATGGTGAAGTAGGAGAAAGTGGTTGAATGCAAAACGTTTTTCTGTTTCCTGAGTTACTTGTTTGTTGCATGGTTAGCATGTACAGCACATCTCAGAAAGAGTAGGTGTGTGTGTGTGGGGGGGGGTGATTCTCCTTGAATGACACTTGAGGATGAAGAAGCTCGTATCTCACAACCTCCTGTTGTGACGAACCAACCAAGAGCTGCTCAAAGTAAGAAAAACTATTTTCATCTGTCTTCTTTGTTTGCACATTTTCCTCCCTTTTCTACGACTTCTTCTGTTTTTGCTTCCCTGACATCTGATTGCAAGGACACACATTAAAAGGCCGGGATGTGAACTCTCCCAAACAGAGCCAACCACACATAGTCAAATCAGCTGAGGCGGATATGTAGCGGCAGGTATGAACAAGGCCGTAGAGTTCGTGTCCACAAGAGTCAGCGTTCTTTCGGTGSTTGGTGAGAATTTTCCACTCAACCTGTGATTGTTCTATTGTGGCAAACTAGTACCGCACTTGAACCTTAATTTAACTGGTATTTCTTTAAATCAAACGCTTTAGGAGTCTGAGCAGTGTTGTTTCAAGAGTTCAAACTGCACTTTAAGTTCTTTCAAAACGATCATCACCTTGGTCTTTCAGGGCTGCCGGCGCTCAGAGGAAAGATCAAAGGTGTTAAATAACTCGTCTTGCTATTGCTGTCAATGGGTTTATTAGCCCGTGCCACAGAGATGTGTCCTTCATTAGCCTCAGTAAAATGTCAATCACTGGATGTGAGCGTGAATGAGTGTCCCTACTCAGCAGACACGTGTGGAGCCTCTGAAGTGCCGGGTCTGATCACTCACTGAGCGTCAGGCATCAGATGAACATTAATGATGGAGAAAGAGAGGAGGGGCCCTGAAAGCATGCATTAGTTAGAGGGCATGGAAGTGTGTTTGGCTGGTGTGACCTTGCATGACTGAGGTAAACTGATAGTCAGCAGTAGCTAGGGTTGAAATAGTCACATGGTTGTTATTATTACCAGCCACTAAAAATGAAAGGGTAGTAATGTTGCAGTGTGTGTGTGTGTGCGCGCGACTGTTGTCATAATGTCTCCTCAACCACTAAACAAACTGTTGAAAGTTAAGCAACTTTAATAAACACAAAATGTCTGAACTCAGTGAATTTTAGTTATTGGACTGAGTCGTCCTCAACTTGTTCAAGTGCTCCATRTGACCCATCACATCGAAACGAAGATTAAGTCTAAATGTGGTATATGGAGAAAAGGACAAATAGTGTTTTAMTTAAAACATTTGCAAAAATTGTACTTTGTCAAAACATAATGAAGAAATGCTTCATCATAGCAATATCATTTGAAAGAACTGTCTGAAATATAATCATAAAACAAAAATTTGAAGCACTGTTTTGAGCAGTAGCAACCAAAAACTTGATTTTGAGCAAAAACGCCTTAAAATTTGGAGATTTTTCTGTGAGCTCGAAATGTTTTTGTTTATTTCCAGCTGGGAAATCTCAATATTCAATTATAATCTGAAGTTTCCTCTTTATAATGACATTTAAAAAAATCTTCATTAAAACTAGAAGCACTCGGAGAGTGCAAACCTCCGCCAAGTCCAAYGTCCCCCATCCTGTAATAGAGTAAATGCACAAAAGCAGAGATGGAAACACATTTGCCGAATACGTTCTGATGTAGCGAACATTTAAGCAGCAGTATGCACAGAATTTCTTCCCGGTTGAGTCCAATGTGGAAAAAAAGGAAAAAAGTCAGACTCATCACCCGACGTTATTGTTGAAAGCTTTCGCATCGGTGCTGCGTGATTTAAAAAAACAGAGTTTCCATTGTGTGTCTAATCACACAGACACACACGCGTCTTCCTATTTTTGTGAGGACCACGCACAGGGGTCACAACCACGCTCTGCGCATTCTTTTTTCCCCAAAGTTTGGCGAGAGGTGGATAGAGGGGCGCACAAATAACTCTTGACTTGATCTGGCCTCAGTTAAATAATWATAAAAATGAACAAACAAACAAACAAACAACCTCCGAGTCTGAAGTCCACCGCGTCACTCCTCTTCCGCAGTCTTCATCGATCTGTGCACAAGCCTACCGACAATGTGGCGTGTTTGAGGAAATGGGAAAAATGGGTTTCATGGTGCAGTCACGCACTTCCTGGTCACAAAACATTCTCTAATTGCGCACCAAATGCGTAAAAATGCGCACATTATGGCAAGAATTATTCATCATTACATCTGGTTCTAAAATTACTTTTATAAAGTTTGAAATCCAAACACTGAAAGCTGTCAGTTTTTTACAGAAGCCCTGTGAAAGCATCACAGCTTTGCCGATCTGAAAGGATTAAAAGGAAAAAAAATCCTGTATCCGCATCATGATCCGGAACATCACCAAAATGTAGTGGTGTGTTACTTGGCCCAGTACCCACATGTGATGTAAATGTCATGACAATCCGTCCACAAGTTTTTGAGTAATGTTGTCCAGAGACAGAACGACAGATYGACTGACATACGTGACTGAAAACATTACCTCGCCGTTCGCGGAGGTAATTACTTAAAATTAGGATTCAGACCAAATATAATTGTATTATTGTAATCAATAAGACAAATTAAATCATAAGTTTGGATCCACTTATGATATCAGAAAGTTCCATGCATCAAAATACTTAAACCTTATTTCGATATAATGGAACCTCATCCTTAATTCATACATGTCAACCCCATTGGCAGTTAGCCTGGATTTTCCTTGACCTTCAAAAAGCCATAATATAAGCCCCGTACGCAATGCAGGGGTCATATTGTTTTCATACTGTTTATTTTATTTATTTATTTTTCAGTGATTTTCAGTGGCTGTACCGATCAAGATAAGCTGGGCAGGAATGCAGATGTGTCCGACCTACGCTGTGTCAGCCAACGATTTTACGATAGACCACATATTTGAGGAGGGGCTCCATCCGAAAAGGTGGTGTCTGGATATAYAAAAATGTTTCTAACAATAACTATTCAACAAAGGAGCTTCAGATGTTTGTTTTTTTTTTTAGCTCTGATTGGGCTGCCCACCAATGAACACCCCCACCCCTCTGGACCCCCACCCAACACAATCAATCTGTTCTGGTGAGTTCTGRTGCTTTGGGTACATGTGGTGGTCATATGTGTTACCGCTATGCTGTATCTAGTTTAAAATAAAAGTAGTACTCTCACATTATTATTAGAACAATAATGTTGTCTTAACTTTTATGTGAAATAACGTGCCACAAAAAGAAAGAAAATAAAACCTTCAAAACTGGCTAAGAACTAAAAGTAAAGTTTTAACATCATAGCCTTTATTAGTTCAGATATAGAAGTAATTATCCTGCATCAAGTGACTTTATCAAATATAACTAAAGTCTGGAGCGATAGTTCCCCTCGTAAAAACTGCTGTGTTCGTTTGACCCCAAAATATGTCTGGGTATTTGAATTTAGCAAAACTAAATAATTGATTTGAATTGTTTGGGAAAAACTAATAGCTGCTTCTTTGATCGACAACCTTCAAATTGTTTAAGATCCATATTCTTTGACCAAAGCAGTAAGCAGCTTTCATCAGAACAGTCTCATCGAATCAACTGCATTATTAATGCCACATGTAACCAGCTTTGTGATGATAATAAACTAAGAATAAAAGAGCCCTTTTTACAATTAAATATCAATTATCTTACATATAATGTGACAATGCAGACTACAATTTATGGTAAAAGTCAAACTGAAAAAGTTTGTGGATTTAAATCAATTCATTAAATTAACAGGATGAAAAATGGAAAAAATGAACAAACGTCTCACACAAAGGCAACACTGTCACCTTGTCAGATTTTAAGATAACATCATTTATAATGTGCTGAATCTGCATTGTAGTAAAATCATTTGACAAAGTTAGTGGCATCGCGGCGCCGTGCTGTGAAGATAAACATGCACACGAGGAGAATTACATGACATCCGTCAAAGTAGAGGCGCGTTTTTATTTACTTTTTTTTTTGGGGGGGGGGGGTTCAGCACTGTAAATAGCTGCAGGTGAATTTTTAACAGGCTTTATGTTCCACAGTTGTGTGTTTAAGAAGAGCACATTGTGAGCTGATGTGAGAAACATGTGAGAAGAAACGCTGTGAAACATGGAGCTAAAAAATAGCATCGGTAAGCTTTCAACAGTTCTGACATCTCTTACAAAACTATCTACTCATCAAATGCGATACGACAATGCGTTTTTATTGACRTCTTGGCTAAACAGGCATTAAAAATTGTCTTCGTTCTTTACATTCACAACTTTGTTTTTGTTAGTTTGTGTTAATAAAATGTGCTCTGACCTTCCCTCTATTACATTAACTGGTTTTATTTTTCCCCTCAAACATTCCTTTTCTTTTTTCCTACCAACTCATGTCACGGCCATTTTCACATTCCTATTCTGTGGGGAGAAGATAACCGCAATACAAGAGAGGATGAGGAGTTCTATTGTTCTTAAGAATATGAACTAAGCTCTTTGTGTGTGTGTGTGTGTGTGTGTGTGTGTGTGTGTGTGTGTGTGTGTGTGTGTGTGTG